CTGCTCTGCTCCCTGCTCTGGCTCTGGTGAATTCTCTCACCCTCCCGCGCTTCTGACTGTACCCAGTGCTTGTATAAATAAATAAATAAATCTTATAAAAAAAATAAACATTCACTAAACACTGAGATAGAAATTTTAGATTTTTTTAAAAGATTTATTTATACAAGCACTGGGTACGGTCAGAGGCAGGGGAGGGTGAGAGAATTCACCAGAGTCAGAGCAGAGCAGGCAGACTGACCGAAGTACACTGCTGAGGGGAGCAGCGGGTGACAGGAGAGGTCTGTGCGCCATGCGGGACCCTCGCCTGGTGGCCGGGGATTGAACCGGCGCTGTAGAGGCTGCAGGCAGCTTCGCAACCCAGCGCTCAACCACTGCGCCACTGGGGAGGCCTGAGATGTTAGATTTTGAATCCCCCCTTTGATACAGACCAGAGTAAGTAGGAGACAATAAAATATAACGGAATGAAAAATAAAAATTCTGGATCTGCATTGAAAGTAGGAATTTCATTGACGATAATAAGTGACAATCTTTATGATTGTACTTAAAATGATAGTTCTTACAGAAAGGCAAAGTATCCTGAAATAATTCTGAAAAAACAACAAGAGACACTTGAAGTCTCTCTTTTTTCCTGCTTTTTCAGTTGGTATCACAGATTTTATGGGTACAGCATATTAACTATAAGATATATTCCTATATTCTTCCTATAAGGTGAGGTTTCTGGAGGCTCCAAGAACTTCTATTTCTATGTATCTGGGAGAGGGGTGCTTATTTTTCTTTATGGAATGAACAACAATGGTATAGTCCATATATGTGAAAATATTATTTCGTTTACCTGGAAGTATTTTATTTGGTCTTTCCATTAATTAAAATCTGCCATTGTTAATATTTTATACACTGGTCATGCAGTGGAATTAAATGAAATTTTTGTTTTCATCTTTAAAACTTCACTTGTCTTTTCTACCACTTGAAAAATACTGTATAATTATTTTAACAATATATATGAATATATATGTATAATTTATATGTTAAACCAATTGTCTATATGTTTGTGAGGGTATAAAAAGAATTTTTTTCAAAATTCTTGTTCAAAATATATACAAAATTTTTGTTCAAAATATATACAAAATTCTTTTATATATATTCTTTTATATATATATAACCCATAATGTAACAAATTTCTTTTATATATATTCTTTTATATATATATATAAAACCAATAATGTAACAAAATTCTTTTTACACCCTCACAAACATATAGACAATTGGTTTAACATGTAAATTATACATATATATATTCATATATAATGTTAAAATAATTATACAGTATTTTTCAAGTGGTAGAAAACAAGTGAAGTTTTCAAGATGAAAACAAAAATTTCATTTAATTCCACTACATGGCCAGTGTACAAAATATCAACAATAGCAGATTTTAATTAATGGAAAGATCAAATAAAATACTTCCGGGTAAACGAAATAATATTTTCACATATATGGACTATACCATTGTTGTTGTGTTCCATAAAGAAAAATAAGCACCCCTCTCCCAGATACATAGAAATAGAAGTTCTTGGCGCCTTCAGAAACTTCACCTTATAAGAGGAATATAGGGAATCAAATACGGGATCAGGGGAAAAAAGACATAACTAGGGCCTCCCCGGTGGCACAGCGGTTGAGCGCTGGGTTGCGAAGCTGCCCGCAGCCTCTGCAGCGCCGGTTCGATCCCCGGCTGCTCCCTGGCCACCGGGGGAGGGTCCCACATGGCGCGCAGACCTCTCCTGCCTCCCCCTGCTCCCCTCAGCAGTGTACTTTGGTCCTTCTGCCTGCTCTGCTCCCTGCTCTGGCTCTGGTGAATTCTCTCACCCTCCCATGCTTCTGACTGTACCCAGTGCTTGTATTAATAAATAAATAAATCTTTAAAAAAAAAAAAAGACAAAACTAGCAGGCAACTATAAATCAGAGCCATTCGGCAGGGGTTGGTGAGGGAGAGGAATTAAAACGGGTGAGAAGAAGAGCACAAGAGACCATGGTGATGGTTCATGGGTGACTTGCTGGTGGGGACTACACCTGAGAGGAGAAAGCAAACTGTTTAAAAATGAATAATGATGTAAAATATACAGACAGAAATAAAAAATAATCACCTATCAAGGTTCAAGAGACAATGCCTGGTTGAGTAAATGTGCCATTATAATCTCTAGATTCATCAGGTATCCTCTTAAAGTCTCTGTAGTGGCAGGAAGGCCACAGAGCAGGATATCTAGGATCCGAGGAGACCCGGTAAAGGAGAGTCGTGGAGCCTGGGCGGCTTTCCCAGGCTTTTATTGAGCTTTACATGCATTGCAGCCACCAGGTACACAGCACACAGGGGGCTACTGGCCTTCTGGTCCCAGGCAAGTCTTCATTCTGGGCTTCTCCGGCCTTCTTTTTCTCCTCTGTCCTGCCTCTCTCCTGCTTCTGCTTCTCTTGGTGACTATCTCAATACTCCTCCCAAAGCCCACAGAAGTAAACAAGACAACAATGTAACAACTGCAGGTGCCCCATCAGGCAGGGCAATCCTAATGGTGGGAGGGCAGAAAAGCCTGAAAACCGTTTCCCCTACATCTCCCTTCAGAATTGTCTAAATAAAACATTACTTGGTTTAATTTAACAGTATTTTAATAGTCCTGTGGAACACACACAAAAATATACACAGGCACACATGTGTGTGTTACAGATGCTAGAATCATCCATAACCCTCGTAAATTACAATAGGTAATTTAAAATTACAATAGGTACATCCATGGATTTCAGACTGAAAAACTAAAAAAGGATGATAATTTTCATATGTGTCTCAGCCAACAAATCTATAATACAGAATATAATAACACAATCATTCCCTCTGCATTCATAAATATTTATGCTGTTCTTTGTTTTATTCCCTATGCTCTTTATTCTCTACTTATTCCATCCCACTATATTTACATTTCTTCAGAATATAATGTGCATATAATATATCTTACATTTTGTCATCTAAATAGTGATCAGATCCATTAAAAATAATACAATAATTTTGAAGATGACTTAAAATATTATTTGAAAATAATTACTCAGTTATATTTGTAGGATTTGCCAATATTTTTTACTGCAACACTAATTTTATTTATTTATTTATTTATTTATTTTTTTAATATTAAATTTTATTTTTATATTCCCCCATACAATTGCAAACGTCCCATTCTGACCCCAATCCTTCCCCTCCCGCCCCCCACCCCCCAAAAAGTGTCTCTGGTTCATAGTTTTTTGTTGATTTTGATTTTCACTTTCTTATATTCATTTTCCTGGTCCCTTATTTAAGTTTTCTAGATTCCTGCTATGAGTGAGACCATCCAGTATTTTTCTTTTTCTTTTTGGCTTATTTCGCTGAGCATGATCCCTTCCAGTGCCATCCATGTTGCTGCAAATTGCATGTGTTTATCTTTTTTGAATGCTGAGTAATATTCCATGGTATATATGTACCACATCTTCTTGATCCAGTCATCTATTTTTGGGCATTTGGGTTGTTTCCAAAGCTTAGCTATTGTAAACAGTGCAACACTAATTTTAAATGAACATAGTTTTCTAAATACTAATTTTGAAAATGTCATCTAGATATAAAATTGCATGGTTTAACATATAGAGTGCTTCAAAGCTTTCATTAAATAATTAGCTCTTTTCTGAAAGAAATGCAGAAATTTGACCACACTGCTTGTATGATTTAAGCCTTTTTTTCTTTCCTTATATGAAATGACTATCATATTTAATATTTTAATAGTATTAATTATATTGAGATAACATTGATTTAAAACACTGTACATGGTTTTAGGGTCCATATTCCCATCTCTTCCAATGTATGATACCGCCAGATATCTTACTTTAGAATTAGTAGTACTGAATATTTTCCTTTAGCACCTTAACTAATATGTTGGGGAAAATTATAATTCATTGTTATTCAATATTTTATTGAATTAAGAATCAGAGTAAAAGATTTTTTCCTGTGTGTATAAGTGATGTTATTTTCTCATGAAAATGTACTAGGAAAGATCTGTTCTGTTCCATTTCCTTTGGGAAATTAACATTTTTCAGATGAATTTTTGTGATCTTTTGTGTGAATGATAGTGGTAATATATGTATCAAAATTATGGCATAGGTGCTATGAATTTTATGTTTCATAATTTCATTTAATAAGAATATGCAAAAAAGAAAAGTTGAATTGTCCTCCTCTTACATAAAATAAAATCATTAAATTGGAATTATAAATCCATATAGATGGAATGGTATATGATTAGGCAGAATGATTCATGAAAAAGGACAGGAATCTAAGAAACATTCATAAATTTGGTTGTTGGATTGTTTAAAATATTTTAATATAAATCAACATTAAATATTTATAGCTCCATTTATATAATTATGCAATTCAAAGATCTCATTAATTTTATTACATACATTAAAGTGATTGAAATGGGCAATGCTAAAATTTACACTTTTCTTTACCCATGTTTCCATAACAGAGGTAAAGTATTTTAAAATTGCTTGAAATTATTATTAGTACACAGAACTACTTCACATTTGTGACAAAGTGGTGATCTCTTCAAATACTTCTTTCCAAATCTTTTTTTTTTTTTTTTAAGATTTATTTATACAAGCACCAGGTACAGTCAGAAGCGCGGGAGGGTGAGAGAATTCACCAGAGCCAGAGGGGAGAGCAGAGCAGGCAGACTGACCGAAGTACACTGCTGAGGGGAGCAGCAGGTGGCAGGAGAGGTCTGTGCGCCATGTGGGACCCTCACCGATGGCCGGGGATCGAACTGGTGCTTCAGAGGCTACGGGCAGCTTCGCAGCCCAGCGCTCAACCGCTGAGCCACCGGGGAGGCCCCTTCTTGCCAAACTTGATTGAACTCAAGGTAGGTGACTATGTTCAGTAAGACATGTTCTTTCAATGGATCCCATTTTCTCTTGCAGCCAACATCACTAAGAAATTCAGGACTATGGCCAATTTCACTCTGAGTGGGTTTCTTCTGATGGGATTTTCTGCCATGCCTGAGGTAGAAATCTTACTTGCTTCTCTGTTTTTGGTCTTATATCTGGTGGCTTTAACTGGCAACATCCTCATTATCACCACAACTTTCAAGGACAACAGTCTCCACTCACCCATGTATTTCTTCTTGAAACATCTCTCCTTCCTGGACCTGTGCTACATTTCCGTGACTGTGCCAAGGTCCATTTACAACACATTCATGCACAGTGGCTACATTTCCCTTGGGGAATGCATAGTGCAGTGTTTTGCTTTTGCTCTCTGTGCTTCTGCTGAGCTGTTCATGCTCACGGTGATGTCTTATGATCGCTATGTGGCCATCTGCCTTCCACTGCACTACGAAATCATCATGGATGTCAGCAAATGCGTCCACGGTGTCTTAGGCGTCTGGATCAGTGGGGTCATAACTGGAGCCATGCACACAGCTGGCACATTTTCCATTCACTTCTGTGGGTCCCATATCATTCACCAGTTCTTCTGTGACATCCCTCAGCTCCTGAAACTTTCTTGTTCTAGTGAGTATATGAACGAGTTTGGGGTCAGTGTCTTTTTGTCGCTAATGGCATTTCTTTGCATCACCTTTATTGGACTGTCCTACATCCAGATATTCTCTACTGTCCTGAGAATGCCATCTGCTGAGGGCAGAGCAAAGGCATTTTCCACTTGCCTTCCCCACCTCGCTGTCATCATTTTATTTATTTCGACAGGTGTCTTTGAGTTTCTCAAACCACCTTCTGACTCTCCAAGTGCACTGGACATTTTTCTCACTATTATGTACACAGTTGTGCCCCCAACACTCAACCCAATGATCTATAGCCTGAGAAATAAAGCCATAATGGCAGCTGTAAAAAAGGTTTTCCAAAGAAGAAAAGCCTGACTCTTTTGTTGAGGCCTTCTTTTAACTCTTAGTTGGGATAGAAATTGAAAATATATTGGGAAGCTGTTAGCTTAAATTGAGAGATGTGATAATTTAGGAAGTTTATGAAACAATGAAGATGGAGGAATCAGTGTCAGAAAAGCTACATGTTCTTTGAACTGCTCAGGGGGATTTATTTGCAATGGACACATTGCAATCTGGACAGCGTTCTATCTCATGTACTAGCTGAGGTTTTCTATGTGTTGAAAATAGGGGGATTGTTAATATTTTGTCTATTTAATGCTTTATCTTGTGGGAGCAGAAATTTTTAGCCCTGCCATAAATATAAAAGTCTGTTTCTTTGAAGTTACTGATTTGTCCACAAAAGTAGTTTCTAGAATGCTTTTTTACAATTGCATTTTTCCTGGAACAGTTTCTTCAGTACCAGTTCTAACTGCATCTTAATTTTTTACTTGTGCCCTTTAAGTAGGACCAGGGTGAAGGGTGCTAACTGGATTCTCAGCCTTGGTGAACCAATCTTAGAACAGTAAACCAAAAATTTAAAGCTAATAAAGAAATGGAAATAGGGAAAGTTGTCATGTTAAAGTGTCATAAGTTTCGGCTATCTGAGTAACAAAAATAATTACACTGCAAGTATAGGAACATTACTTTAAGTATTTTGATGAGGATTTTCCATGATTTGCAAGGTCAACAATTCAAGGATCTGGGCAGGTGTCAGGTTTATGTATGTAGCTGATATTTCTGTGTATTGAGAAAAACAGAAAAGCATGTTAAAATTTACTTACTTTGAGCTTCATCCATCTATAACTGGAGGTTCAGCTCTTCCCTAAATTTTGAAGTCTTTATTTGAATGTAGTGATTTTCCTACAGGCAGCATTTTCAAAGTGCGTCTTTTTCACAAAGTAAATTTAACCTCAACATAATATATTCAGGATCAGACCAGTTATCTTTTCATTCATGACTTGGATCCCTTAGTTAGTAGTAGAAAGAGGTGGAACACAGATTGTTACTTCTGGCTAACCAACCAGGCAACCAGGAATTTAGAGCTAAGTTGAGAAACGAGCATAGGGAAACCTCTATCAGACACACAATATAGCTCTATGAAAATTATCCCTGCAAAATGAGTAGATTAATATCTCACACCACAAAACCAGGTGTTAGGGAAAATGTGCCATAATTTAAAAAAAGATAATGTAGTCTCTTCCCTGATCATACCTGTCAGGATGATGGAAAACAGTAAATATTAGGTTCTAGACTCATTTTTCCTAACTATACAGGAGTTAAAATGTCACATGGTATGTGTGAACTGAGAAGAACCACTGACTCTCAGCACCCATGGGCCATGCAGCACCTCACTGATTGCTCTATCAACTTCAGCACCTCCAGGAGCAATGCACTGAGGTCCCTCTGCAACTCTCTGTTCATACCATTCCCTTGCCTATTTGAAAAATAGGTGAAAATACTTAAGGATGTATAATGAGTCGTAATTAGAATGTAAAATAAATGTTGATTAATCATCTCAAGTAAAGACAGAATTAGTGAACTGAAAGACAAGTTTCAAATGTGAAAATATGAAATTCCACCAAATATGCTCACGAAACACAGTGATAAAACATGATGAAGAAGGGATTGAATGATAAATGATAGAAAAAGAGATTCTGGCATGGGCTTATAAAAGTTCCCAACACATTGCATCCATTTCCATGCTTTAAAGGCAAGAACAACAGACATTATTGAATTTTTTTTTTCTATTTTTTCCTAGAATAAATAGAAATTCAAATTTTTAGGATTGAGAAATAAAAATACACTGATATATTTAAAATGAAATCAAAAGCATAGTATCATCGAAAATACAAAAAAGACAAAAATGTTAACAATCATCATTAACATTTTACTGCTATATACTTTGCTTAATAATCCAATCTAAAATTAGTTTTGCAATAAATATGAGGTGGAAAATTTGATTCCTTTTATTCAAATGATATCTAATGGATTCAGTTATCTCTAAATGAGAAATGATTTCCTCAATGAATTCCAGTGTCATTAATTGAGAAATATTGTTTCCTGATGATTTTCACCTATGTTTTATTAAATGATAATATAGGTGTTTGAGATTCTATTCTGTTCAGTTGATGTATGGGTTTATGCCAATAATATCGAACTCTGTTAATAACTGAAGTTTAACTCTAAATTTTCCAACTCTCTTCTTCCAGACTTTCTATGCCTCTCAGAGTCCTTCTATATCCATATAAGCATTTGAATCAGTTTGTAAAACATTAAATTTATTGATTAAGCAGGAAAATAAAAAGATTATCTTCTAATCCGTTACCAAAAAACTTTTTGCATTTACTTATGTCTTTAAAAATTAATTGCTCCATGATAAGGAGTCTTCAGTGTTATAGTTCTATACATCTTTTTTAAAATACATATTCAGATCCACTTCACGGACACCACACTGCATTATAACATTATGAATATTTCAGATGTGCATGATTAAAAATCAACTTGTGTATATACTACATTAAGTTTAGCACCAAAATTCCAATTCTGTCCTTCATATAATTGACACATTTTTACCTGAGTCACCCACTTCTATTCTCCCTTCCCTTTGCTAAGCATTAGTTACTCCTAAAGTTTACTTTTGTTTTATATGGTTCATGTTTTTGTTTTCTCTGTAAATAACACATGCAAGAAATCATATGGTGTTTGTCTTTCTCTGACTCATTTCACTGAACGTAAAATACTGAGGCTCATAAAGGTTGTGATCAGGGCAGGATTCCAGCCACTTACACCTGTGGGATCCATCATGTGCATTGACCTCATCTTTATCTGTCCCTGGGCACTGAGGTTGTGTCCAGGTCTTAGCTATTGCTAATAACACTGCAGTAAGCATGGTGGTGCACATCTCTTTGAATTTGTGTTTTTGTATTTCTTGATTAAATGGGATAACTGGATCATATGGAATTACTAATTTTAATTACTTGAGAATCATAGTATTCCTTAATGATGGCACAAGTTATATTTTTGCCAAGAACATGTAAAGATTTCCATCATCTCTGCATCCACGCCAACACTTGAAAGTGTTGAATAATTTATGTTTTGGATATTAATTCTTTTTGTCATATGTGGTGTAAATATTTTCTCCCATTCCATGGAATATCTTTTTGTGTGGAATTAGAGTCTGTGTATAGAGGATTGTATTTCATTTTCGAGCATCCTTGTTTGTTTCTTCACAAATCACAGGACTTCCATTTTTCATGACCAAGTGATTTACTATTGTGTATATCATCACATCTGCCGTAGTCATTGTTCTTTGATAGTGACTTATTTTGTTTCTACTCCTTGCCTCTGTTTTCTTCCATGCATTTTATTATTTCATGTTTTCACTAAGGCACGGGTGAATGAGCTTATCATCTATGCTTCTTTTCTCATGATTTTGGTCATACCTTCAAGGTCTGAATCCATGTTGAATACATTTCTGTAATAAGGTGAAATTCCAGGTAACTGGGTGCAATCATTAAACCAACTCAACAGAAAAATACTCTGCAGGAACAATGACTGTAATTACAAGTTTTGGTCCCAGGGTATTGACCAAGTTCACTTAATGCCCACAGAACCAGGCACAGTGCTGTGCCAAAGTGACTTCAGAGTCTAACCTCTAGGGGCCAATAAGGGTTGAAATTGACTTATTTTCTCTGCCAAGTTCAGATTTTCTGAATGTGACTGAACTCAGAGATCAAGACTTTGAGCTAAATGTCAGCTTCCCACATCAGCAGCTTCTCCTTCAGGTGGGAGGAGAAGTTATTGAATATGCTCTGGTGAGTTTCCTTAGATTCTACAAATAGATTACACAGAATAATGAAATCACCATAAATTACTAGTTTTGAGTGGGTGAGAGATGAACCCTGCTATTTAACTTGTAAAATATGAAATACTTTGCATGAGTGATGTTCATTTAAACAGAAACTACAGTATGGGAAAGAACATTGTAAAACCTTCCTTTCCAGAAATATTTTGTGGAGTGCTGTTCCCATGTCCCTAGCAATGCCTTTCATTATGTAACCATGTTAGAAGTAATGCAGTGTGAATGTGTGTTGGGATAACACTTCGATACTCCTTGTATTCATATTATTCATTGATTCTTGTAATTGCCACTTAGAAGTGATATGAGGGGCTTCCATATCAGAAATCACAGATAAATTTTTCAAGTATGGTAGAAAAATTTAAAAAATGGGAATGAATTAGAGATATTATTGATAGTGAATTAAGGATCAAAAAGAAATGATAAAGATTGAAAGTGCATGATTAGACAATGCTTCTTGTCATAACCATTAATTCAGCTTCTGATTTCATATAATCCTTAGGGAATGTTCTGAAGCAGAGAATTTCAGAAAAATTTTGGAATGGGCATCTTAGTAGCCATTTTTTTGATATTTAGAGAAAAAGACTTTCAAGGAAAATACTGGCAAAAATCATTAGAGATCACACTTCATACATTGAAAAATAACTTTTGTTAAGTTTTGAAAACATTATCTACCTAAAGCTTAAACACTAGTGTTTAAAAACATGAATGTTTATGATAAACTTTCCTAGAGAAGTTAGATTTCGAATGCCTACTTTGACATAAGACAGTGAATAAGCTGGAGAGAATCAAGTAGTAGATTGAAAGAGATACAATTCTGGATCATTATTGTGTGTAGGACTTTCAGAGAAGAAAGTGAAAATCTTCATCTTCTTAAAGTAAAGGCTTATAAAGAAAGGAAAAAAAAATCCTTAAATAACACTAAAAACAAATGAAAGAGACACTTCAAGTCCCTTTTTACCCCTGCTTCTTTACTTAGTATTATAGAAAATTGTGATCACAGCATATTAAATACTAGTTAGATACAACTAATCTGTAATGTGACAAGGTTCTAAAGATAAGATATGTAAAGTTTTGATGATGAAAACGAAAGTTGCATTTAATTCCAACATGTGGTCACTGTATAAATTATCAACAA